AAGGAAGGAAGGAAGGAAGGAAGGAAGGAAGGAAGGAAGGAAGGAAGGAAGGAAGGAGAAAGAAAGAAAGAGAAGAAAGAAGGAAAGAAAGAAAGAAAGAAAGAAAGAAAGAAAGAGAAGAAAGAGAGAGGGAGGGAGAGAAAGAAAAAGGGAAGGAGAGAGAGAAATATGGGGACAAGGTGTGCTCTCTAGGCATCATTCTCACAAATCAAGTAATCCAGTTTAAAAAATGGGGTACAGAGCTAAACAGAAAATTCTCTGTAGAGGAATATAGAATGACAGAGAAACACTTAAAGAAATGCTCAACATCCTTAGCCATCAGGGAAATGCAAATCAAAACAACCCTCAGATTTCACCTTATACCCATCAGAATGGCTAAGATCAAAAACTCAAGTGACAACACATGCTAGAGAGGATATGGAGAAAGGGGAACCCTCCTCCATTGCTGGTAGGAATGTAAACTTGTACAACCACTTTGGAAATCAATCTGGTGCTTTCTCAGGCAATTTAGAATAGCGCTTCCTCAAGATCCAGCTATACCACTCCTAGGCATATATCCAAAATATGCTCAAGTACACAGCAAGGACATTTGCTCAACCATGTTCATAGCAGCTTTATTCATAATAGCCAGAAACTGGAAACAACCCAGATGTCCCTTAACAGAGGAATGAATGCAGAAATTGCGGTACATTTACACAGTGGAATACTACTAACAATTAAAAACAAGGAAATCATAAAATTTGCCAGCAAATGGTGGGATCTAGAAAAGACATTTCGAGTGAAGTATCCCAGAAGCAGAAAGACACATATAGTATATACTCACTTATAAGTGGATATTAGACATATAATATAGTATAAACATACTAAAATCTGTACACCTAAAGAAGCTGAGCAAGAAGGAGGACCCTGGGTAGGAGGATCAATCTCACTCAGAAAGATAAATGGGGTGGACACTGGAGGAAGGAAAGAACAGGAAGCAGGATGGGAGCCTACCACAGAAGGCCTCTCAAAGATTCTTCCCAGCAGTGTATCAAAGCAGATGCTGAGACTCATAACCAAACTTTGGGCAGAGTGCAGTGAGTCTTAGGAAAGAAGGGGGAAATAGTAAGACCTGGAGAGGATAGGAACTCCACAAGGAGAGCAACAGAACCAAAAAAATCTGGACACAGGGATCTTTTCTGAGACTGATACTCCAAACAAGGACCATTCATGGATATTACCTAGAACCCTGCTCAGATGAAGCCCAGGGTAGCTCAGTATCCAAGTGGGTTTCCTAGTGATGGGAACAGGGGCTCTCTGATGTGAACTCAGTGGCTGGCTCTTTGATTGTCTCCCACTGAGGGGGGATCAGCCTTGTCAGGCCACAGAGGAGGAAAATGCAACCAGTCCTGATCAGACCTGATAAGCTAGGATCAGATGGAAGGGGAGGAGGACCTCCCCTATCAGTGGACTTGGAGAGGGACATGGGAGGAGATGAGGAAGGGAGAGTGGGATGGGGAGGGAATGAAGGAGGGAGCTACAGCTGGGATACAAAATGAATGAACTGTAATTAATATATAAAAATAAAAATTTAATTAAAAAAGAAAGAATACCAGTAATAAAATTCTCAATGTGTTTTAGTATAAATGTGGTATGAAAAGAGTAACTTTCCCCCCAATTCACACATGTAACAAAAAGTAAGCATGGGTGCAAGATTGGGCATGCTTACATGGAATCAACCCAGTCTCCTGGGTAAGTGCTTTAGCAGCTTCATTTCACTGATGAAGTAAGGCTCAGAGATCCCACAGCCAGTAACTAAAAACACAGGACCAGAACCCAAGCGCTTCCCTTTTGCTGCTCATGAATTAAGATGGCTGTCCAGACTACCCAATACACACCTCAGGGTTCCTCACCATGCAGGCTCAGTGTTACACCACCAAGAGGGATGTCATATGGTAGCTCTGTTTTGGAAAGACAGAATGAATGGTCTGCACCATTCATTCTTTGCCTTCTGCCCATACCAAGTGCCTAACCACAGAGATGACCCCCTATGGCCATCAAGATCCCGATGCCACCAAAACAGGCCTAACTTTCACAGGAAGGACTTGTCACCACCCTCCTGGGTCTAAACGGGCAGTGCAAGGGAAGGTCAAGGCTTCAGCCTTCAAAGGTTGGGGTCCTAGTCCAGCCACTTGCTAGCTATGCCATCTTGGGAACACATGTGTATATGTTCATACATGAATTCCCTAGCTTGTCCTTCATGAACAATAAGTGAAGCCACTTCTCATCCCTGTTCAACTCTGAGAGGGAGCAAAGACCCCCCTCACCCAGAGAGTGATCTGGTCCTGTTCCCTAACCACCTCTGCTCTGACAAGGTTCCTCCTCCTACATCCTAAGGAGTGGTCAAGATGGAGACCATGCTGTCAAAAGTCTGGATGAAGGGTTTGTTTGTTTCTGCATACCCTCCAAATATTAACACACTATCTCTCTTGTCTTCTTTTCTCTTGGAAAAGGTTTAAGTGGGATTCCAAGAAAATCAAGTCTCACTTCTCCATTAGCCCTGAAGAAGGCTACATCAGCTCAGGCATGGAGGTTGCTTTAGAAGTAACCTACCACCCCACGGAGATGGGAAAGGAGAGTTTCTATAAAGACATTTTCTGCTTCATCCAAGGAGGAAACCCCCTGTGCCTCACCCTGTCTGGAGTCTGCGTGGGACCACCTATAATAAAAGAGGCAAGTGGGCACTGCCCGGGGATGGAGCAAAGGCAGGAGTAAGCCCAACCAGGAACACCCGAAATGAACATTCAGGGACTTTGCACATACCATACCCACTGCTTGAATAATCTTTCTTCCCCCTTTGCTTACATAACTCATATTCTTACTTCAACTTGCGGGTCAAGCATTATATCCCCAAGGAAGCCTCACGGAGGCCATCTAGATTGAATTCTGTGATAAGAACTGTGAGCAGAGACCTAGGACAAAGCTCAGTCAGGGAGGTGTCACGCAAATATTATTTTCCTTCTCCTGGAGCAGGAGGACTCTCAGTCTTGAATGGCACTGTTTGATCTGCATTTTAATGGAGTCAAACCAGATGCCGACAGATGTCCGAAGAAGAGAGATTAATTAGGAACACTTCCCATAGACAAGGCAGTTTGGACAGTGCTGCCGGCCCAAAGGGTAGTAGAGGGCGAATATTTCACAGCTCATGAGTTCAACTTGGCTGGCTGGACAAGGGGCTTTCAGGAGTCCACCTGTCTTCATCCCCCCAAGTGCTGGCGCTGCAAACAGACCCTGCCACACCTGGCTTCCACATGGATGCCAGGCTGAACTCAGCTCCTCATGTCTGCCCAGAAATGACTGGACTGACAGGGGTCCACCCAGTACACCAAGCACTTGTGTAGTGCACTGAAAAGAAAGGTGAAACCGTGACATTTGCAGGAAAATGGACGCAACTGGAAATGCAATAATGAACTAAGCCAGACTGAGAAAGACAAGCAGTCCATGTTTGCTCTCAAATTTGAAACCAGATTCAAAATTGTGTGTGTGTGTGTGTGTGTGTGTGTGTTATTTATATATGGGAGCATAAAGGTAGAAAGAAGAAAGGGGGGAAGGAAACTCTTCATTGGAACTCACTATGGGAAACAATGTCTCTCTCACACACACTGTAGCTCTGAACCCTGAAGACAGCTCAAAGAGATGACATGGAAAATGGTTTTTCTGCTTCTCGCAGGTGGTGAATTTCAACTGCCAAGTGCGCTCCAAGCACACGCAGACCATCCTGCTGTCTAACCGTACCAACCAGACCTGGAATCTGCGCCCCATCTTTGATGGTGACTACTGGGAGGGGCCTGAGTTCGTCACCCTGGAAGCCCATCAGCAAAACAAGCCCTATGAGATCACCTACAAGCCCCGCACCATGAACGTGGAGAACCGCAAGCACCAGGTGAACTGACTGACGCTTCCCCATGGCTGTCTAGCATAGAGGAGGCGAGGGGCTGTATAGACAACAGCTAGAAGACAGATTTAAAGAGCCCTCAGATAAGGGGGTACGTGGAACAATGGGGAGCGGTGACTACTGTCGGGCAGTGGCTCCCCCTTGGTCTACATTTCTCTTAGAATCCAAGGAATCGGTTCTGAAATGAAACCCTAAACTAAGCATTGAACAAGTCCTATTCAGTTTAAGCACATCAGTGATATCACGGTAGCTGTAATAAAAATCAGAAGAGAGTTAGTAAGGTGGCCCAGCTGGTAAATGTGTCCACCACCAAGCCTTACAACCAAAGTTCAGTTGGAAGGAGAGAACTGACTCTTGGAAGTTGTCCTCTGATTTCCATACATGCAGTGCCATATGTATACACACAGAGAGAGAATGAATGAATGGATGAATGAATGAATGAATGAATGAATGAATGAATGAATGAATGAATGAATATGAAATTTAAGGGCTGGAGAGACTTGCTATCCTTGCCAAGGACCTGAGCTTGGTTTCCAATACCTATGTTGAGTGGCTCACAACCCCGTCTAATTCTAGTTTCAGGGGGATCCAATGCCCTCTCTGTCCTCCGCAGGCCCTACACTGCCATGCACATATCCACACAGAGACACATAAATAAAAATAATAAAAATAAATCTTTTTGAAATGTAATTTCAAAATTCAGAAAAGGAAAGCGCCGAGTCTTTGCACTTAGAAGCAAATGACATTCTCTCCAGTCTTCACTATCTGTCCAATGCAGCGAGCCTCTGTAAAAGACCCTGTCTTACAGGGAATCACATGGAAAGCAATCAAGGAAGATGCCCAGTGTCCTCTGTGGCCTCCCTGTGGCCTCCCTGTGGCCTCCCTGTGGCCTCCCAGTGGTTACATACAGGTGCCCTCATCAACATGTGTACCACACACACAGCAAAAGTTAAGAAATTTTAAAGTAGAAGTGTTAGGCTTCCTTGACCCCTTCAGGTCAGGTAGGTGCCTATTACTGAGGGGTCATTACTAACTGTGTCATTCTGATTCGCCACTTCTTCCAAGGGCACTCTCTTTTTCCCTCTCCCGGATGGGACTGGCTGGCTGTATGCCTTACACGGGACTGCCGAACTCCCCAAAGCTGTTGCCAATATCTACCGTGAGATTCCGTGTAAGACTCTCCATGTTGAGCTCCTGCCAATCAGCAACTGGCTGAACAAGCCCCAGAGGTAAGGGTGTGGGGTGAGCAGTGAGAGTGGGGGAAGAGATGACTTCCACCATCTAACGTGGTCCTTCCCCTGTGGAGAAGGCCCTACAAAGAATGTCAGGCATGGGGGCGGGGGGGTCAGAGACATAGGCCTCTCATGAACATGAATCCCGTCTCCTTACTCATGCTAATTCTTACAGATCCTAGAGCACCACCTCACACAAAATAAATGCCCAATAAATAATAGTTCTGATGGTCCTAACAGACAGCATCTTTGTTGTTGTTGAGCATCTTAGAGCTTGGGCTACTAGCCGGAGAAGAAAGCTCCTCAAATTGTGCCTGCATTAGGTAGAAAGGAATGTGGGGACTGGGAGAGATCGAGCGCAAGTAGCCTCGTCCTTTCCTTCCGCAAAGAGCTAGAGACTAGGAGAAGTGCGTCTTCCTGGAGGCCACCTGCTTGGCACCATAGGCAAAAGCTCAGATCCAAGTCTGGACCCCAGTTTTGCCAATAGCCACACATGTTGTCTGAGCACGTCATCTTTCTTCTTTGGGCCTCTATTTCCTCTCCCATAAAGCAGAGGTGTTACTGAGACAAACCTCCGCTAGACATCGTGACAGCTGAATATCTGTAGATAACGTGGAGAAGGACCACTGGACACCCCGGCCCAAAAAATGGCAGCCGCTGTCAGTGTTAGCGACAGAATGAAGACTAGAACCACAGGCCCACACAGACACAGCTCCTTCCCTCCCCTCCTCTGGACAGTCCCACTGTCCCTCAGTGTCCCTTGTCGTTTCTCATTGCCTCTCTTCTCTCTTGCACTGCCCTAGATTCCGGGTCATCGTGGAAATGCTGAAACCAGAGAGGACAGACCTAAGTGTCACTCTGAAGGGCCTCGATTACATTGATGTTCTGTCTGGCTCCAAGAAAGACTACAAGCTGAACTTCTTTTCCTACAGGGAAGGACTGTATACTGCAAAGGTATTGCCACATCAAAGGCACCTCCCTGGAGGTTTGATCCTGGGGTGTTAGAAAATAACAGATGTTATCCTCCAGGTGCTGTCCCAATGCTCCACACTATTCACTATGGAGTGAATACTGCTACTTGTCCAGTCCATTCATTGTTTAATAGGTATCCATTGAGTGCGCAGGCCATGTTCTGTGCTAAGTGCTGGTAACCCGGCAACGGACAGAGCCAGACATGGTCTCTGTTCTCAGGAAGCACAAATATGTGGAGGAGACAGACACTATTCTATCAATGCATAATTTTCAAATGAGATAAGTATTTTTGAGGCAGGGGAGTATGTATGGATTCATACTCACAGGAGAGGTCAGGCCTGAAGGCTTCAGGTTTGCCTGTTTATAGGCAGTCTTTGAAGCTATTATTGGTGATGGAACCACCAAGGGAAATATTTTAAAGTATAAACCTACACAGGGTCTATAGATAGATAGATAGATAGATAGAGAGAGAGAGAGAGAGAGAGAGAGAGAGAGATAAAGGTCTAGATAAATAAAGTCACCACCTAGTAATAAGATTAATGATCCAATGTATTTAAAAAAACAAAAGCTTGAATAGAGTCTACTTCAAAAAAGTAGCCACCTGAAATCCAGGCATGGTGGCACAGACATGAAATCCCAGCACTTAGGAGGTAGAAGCAGGAGGATAGGCGTGTGAGGCCTGCCTCTGTAGTTGGGTGCTACATGAGACCCTGTCTCAAAAGAAACTTGTTGGAAGTTGCTATATATGAATGACCAACAAGCACACAAGGCCAACATCCCCATTCTCCAGGGAAAAAAATTGTGACAGACGACCAGTTGTAAGGAGAAGGGGGCTGCTTAGAGCGGTTATGGCGAGCTCTGCAGTCCCTCCATGCAGGATCCTTCTTTGCACATGACTTTGGACAAGATGCTGAGCTTTGTTACACTTCTGTTCCCTGGTCTGCAAAGGGCGATGGCATTGCTGATGCACTGCGGGATTGCATAGCCCGCCGTATACTAAATCCCTAGTAAGTGTTAAATGCTGCCTGTCATTGTTTTTCTTGCTAACAGCTCTGGCATCAAGAGCAGTAGGCATGAAGCCCACCACAGCCTGAATGTCTGAGGTCTCGCTTGTTCTCTGGGGTTGTCTAGCTGGTTAAATGCTGTCAATGGACCAAGCTGCTCTAGCATCTTCTACTGAGATTCTTAGATCTCACCTGACAAAAGCCAGACCATAGTTCCTAAAGAGAAAGCCTGCCTGGCAGGGATCAGACTGGCTGGCCATGTCACCCCAGCAAGGCACATGTCCTAGACAGCAGGACACCCTGAGTGTGGACAGAGGACCCTGAGCTAACCTCTCCTCTCCCTGCTTCTTCCTGCTCTCCCCGTGAACACAGGTGATCTTCCGGAACGAGGTGACCAATGAGTTCTTGTTCTACACTGTGAGTTTCAGGGTCATCCCTTCTGGCATTATAAAAACCATCCAGATGACAATCCCAGTCCGCCAGAGTGTCTCAGCCTCCATCAAGTTGGAGAACCCCCTGCCCTACTCGGTGACCTTCTCTACAGAGTGCAAGCTGAGTGACATCAGCCTGCCTTCCCAGTTTGCCGTGCCTGCAAACTCTGACGTAAGGCCCTGACTGCCATGGGACCCTTAAGGGCTATGACAGAGGCTTCTACCCATGGTGCCTCTTGGTCTATGTTCTGCATCCCTTGAGTGTGGGCCAGCCCTGGTAGAAGGCAAGAAAAAATGACAAGGGACAGTTCCTTTCTTCTGCAGCCAGAGCCTTCATGTGAACTAGGAATACGTAGCTTTGGAATGGGCAGATACAACAGATATCTTTTTATAATGACTTTGTCTGTTGATTGTTTGCCTTGTTCAAACTAAGGGGAAAACATCATTTTTCCAATTATAAAAGCAGCATAGAGCTAAAAGTGTACCTTAGTGGTTGAGCACTTGCCACTAAGCGTGCACGGGGTATCCTGGATTCGATCTCCAGTCCTCTCACACACAAAGCAGCATGGATCTTAGTGTGAAAAGGAAAGCAAGGTGTATAAAGTAGCAGGATAAGACACACACATACACACAATATAAACACATACATGCACACATATAAACACATATACATATATACACATGTACTTATGCTACACACACATATTTATATGTGCACACATGAACACATGCATGTAAATATACACACACATACACACATGTACCGCACACACATATACATATGCATGCTTGTACACTCGTTGCTTGTACTTGCCATTCCCAGCGTGCTCTGGAGATGCACACACGAATCTCTGACCATGGTCAGGAGGACATGGCCAGGAATTATGAGCTGGGGGGAAATGGACTTTCACAGTTTATCATTCCAAACCTCACTGTCTAAATTTCATCAAAATCCCCACCCTTAACTTCCCTACCTCCCCAGACCTTGTCCGACTCCACCTGTTCCTTCACTCCTCCAGCTCTTCCTTCTTCTCCAGGATCTAGGTTAGTTTTCTCTGCTCTCCTGCCCATTGTTAGCGGGATTTTTATCTGTCGTTTGTCTCCCGTGCCTTTGTTGTGATCAGGTAAGCTCTACTCTGAGATTGCTCTCTAAGCTGGGCTGTTTCAGTGACAGGCGTCAGCCATTTGGTCAGTTTTTGCCGATATTGTTTTGCTCTAAGTTGGGTTTGGGTTGGCTTCTTTGAAATAGGGTCTCACTGTGCCATCCAGGATGACCTCAAACTCCTGACCCTCCCGTTTCTGTAACAGCATTTGTCCAGCTGAGGCTCTTGTTTTAAGCATTTAAATATTCTCTACTGCCCCCACTAGGCTGGTCCTATTACAACACCTTGAGATAAACTGAAACCATCCCTCCAGCTCCTGCCACAACCGTCAGATTATCCCACCAAGTTCCCCCAGGATATATGGATCCCCTCAGTTCAGGGCTGATCCGAGTTTTTTGGCTCTCAGTGTTGATGCTTCTCAACCACACAGGCGCTAATATTACACAAGGCCCATGCTTATTGGTGCCTTGACTCTCCCAACTCACTTTTGGGTTTGAGGTTACCTTTACATTTAGTTTCATGATAGGCTTTAGCTTGTTGTTATTTTGAGCCTAGCTAATCTGTGTGTTTGGAGGAGAGTCCATACAGTGTTGAACCTATCACTACCCTCTTACTCTAAACTGGTTTCTATGGATAATGTGAGTAGAAGATTCACTTTGTTCCCCAAGTCAATATGAGTCCCCACAGACTGACTGAAATTCTCATATTAAACTGGGCACGGTGGCACATGCCTGTAATCCCAACATTCAGGAGGCACAGGAAAGAGGATCAGAAAGTCAAGTTCATCCCCAGCTATTTATGAGTTTGAGACCAACTTGAGCTACATGAGACCCTGTCTCAAAAATAAATAAATAAAAACAAAGTTCATCTCATCTTTTCCCTACTGCTCTGCAGAAGTATATATAAGTCAAGTCGAGCTCATACATCCATGGGTCTGTTCTGTCTCCTCTGGGATAAAATAATTTCTGTTCTCATGCTAATGCCTCTGCATCTTTTTAACAAATACTCAGGGTTGGTTGACATCTAGTGAAGCTGCAGTCACTCACTGTTACTCTGGCCATAGCTTACTCTTGTCATGATTCAGGATTACGCCAGCTATTCTTGATTTTTTATTTCTATGTAAATTGTGAAGCCAAGTTGCTCAGAAGAACTAAAGAAAAAGAAACTAACTAGGGACTTTGAATGAAATTCCACTGAACCTACAGATTATTTTAAGAATCACCTGTTATTTGTTGAACCATAACAAATTCCTCTCAAACTTAGCAGCTTGTCAAACAGCAAATGCTTGCTCTTCTCCAGGGTTCTGATGATCAGGATTGCAGGTGTGGCAGCTTGGCTGGGTGGTCTTTGCTGGGGTGAGGGGGTGTTTCTCAGAAGGCTAGAGTCGGCAGCCAGCCAAGTCATCCCCACACCTGAGACTAGATAATCTGCTTCTAGACCCAGGCATGTGGTCGCTGATTATGCTTTTAGCCCCTGTCAGCAGTTAGCTAGGGCCTCAGTCAGTCAATCTGTGACCTCTCCCTAGAACATTTTCCAACATGGCCCACTTGCCTAGAGTGAAAGATGTAAAAGAAAGAGACTAGCCTCCAGGGGAGAATGGAATACACGACACAGAAGCCTGCAGACCTTCTCTCTCACTGCCCATTCCCAGGGGTGACATGCTTGCACTTTACCACCAAGCCTTCTCCCCAGCCCTGTCCTGGAATTTCTTTAAGGAAGAAAACAATTGCAAGTGCAAGGCATTAAACCCTCAGCCTTGTGCATTCCTGGAAAGCTTTGCCCCACTGAGCTACAGGCCCATTTTCCCCACTCCCTTCTCTCCCTTGCTTTTTTGAGACGGGTTCTCCCTAAGTTACTCCTGCTGAGCTGGAACTCACTCTCTAACCCTGACAGGTCTTGATCTTGTCCTCCTCCTGTCTTAGGCTCTCAAGTAGCTAGGAACTATAGACCTCAGGCCTAGCAAAGAAAGTTTGACTACAGATTATTTTATTTTTAAATTTTTATGCTGGGAATTCAATTCAGGGCCTCAGGCATGCTAGACTAAGCTATGTTTGTTTTTACATTTGTCTATTCATATCACTTGTTATCATAAAATCATTTTGTCTCATGTTCTTTTTGACAAAAAAAAAACAGCTTTAGTGATACTTTTTGTTCTGATTATTTTTCTTTTTATTGATTATTCTGATTGTTTTTATTTTTAATTTTTAAAGTATTTTAATGATGTAGGGGTGGGGTATGCGCACCCGTGCTGGCGCCTGAAAAGGTTAGAGGTGTTGCACCCCCAAAGACAGAGCTCCAGAAGCTTGTGAGCCTCCTGATGTGGGTTCTGGGAATTGACCTCAGGTCCTCCAGAAGAACAGGGTATATTCTGAACTGATGAGGCTTCTCTCCAGGCCGTCTTTGTTTTATGTTTTATTAATGGACACTTAATAAAATATTTCAAGCTATATAAAAGTATATGAAATACAAGGTTTAAAGTCCCATACCCTTTTCCCCCAGATGTAATACCAGAAACAGCTATTCTTAGACTGTTCTGTACTCACAAACAACAAAAATGGGCCAGCAACATGGCTCTTGCACCCAGGCCTGACAACTTGAGTTTTGTCCTTGGATCCCACAAGGTAGCAAGAGAGACCAGGTCCTGAGAGTTTCCCTTCTAACCGGTACGCATGTGCACACAAACAATAAATTAATTTTTAATCAATAAGTATGAGCATTATATTCATTTTTTATTTAGACCTCTTTCCTTTCCTTTACAATAGCAACACCTCTCATCACAATTCTACCGCATTCTTTTGTGGCTGTATAATATTCCAGAGAGATGGGAAGACCCTAAGTCATTCAACTAATTCTACTTGAGTGCACTTGAGTCATTCTCTCTCTCTCTCTCTCTCTCTCTCTCTTCACTATTATAAAGCTTTGGCTATTGTTTTGCCTTGTAAAAATGGGAAAAGAGGAATGTTTCCCCTCAAGTAAAGGTGGAACCCAGAAAGCTTTTCTGAGAATGACTGTATGCAAAGAAGGGACTGCCTGGCATTTAATCTCCTGTTGATTTCCATACATGTGCTTCCCTAGGAAGGGCCAACACCTGTTTCTTAGATTCAGATTTGGGGTGGAGAAATACCTGGAAGAGAGAAAGACAGAGGGAGAATTAAAGAGAGAAAGAATGGCCTAACCTGGGCTCAGGGTCAGCTTCAGTGTTTGTATGTGGAGCATCGGTTTTTGCCATCACCTGCTGTGAGGTCTTAAGCAGGTTAGAGAGGATAGGGCAGATTTCCAACCTGACAAGAGCCTCTGTCTTCTCTTCCAGGGAACATTCTCATTTGAATTCCAGCCCTTGAAAGCTGGAGAAAGCATGGGGAGACTGGCCCTGCACAACAGCGACTTGGGATACTACCAGTACGAGCTCCTTCTTAAGGCCCTGCCCGCACCTCCTGAGAAACCTGTCCACTTCCAGACTGTTCTTGGCAGCAACCAAAGCATCTTTGCGAAGTTCATCAATTATACCCGGCAGAAGACAGAGTACTACTGCAGGGTGAGCAGACTGTAGGGTGAGCGGGCTGCAGGGTGAGCGGGCTGCAGGGTGAGCGGACCCTTCCTTGGCATAAGTCGGGGTTCAAAACTAGTAAGAGGCCCAGAATTGTAGTGGATTCTTATCTCCCAGCTCACAGGAGGCAGCAGCAGGGGATCATGAATTTGAGACCATCCTATCCGAGACTTTATAGTGAGTTCTAGGCCAGCCTGGCCTACATAGTAAGACCCTGCCTAAAAAATCATTGATGATGGAAGGATGACTCCAAGGGTACAGAGATATGAAGCTCAGAGGCAACCAGGTGCTGTCATAGTGACCCCCACTTTGGAAGACTCAGTCTAACCTAGAAACAACCAACGAGAAATAGATGGGTTCTTCCACTACAGATTGTCTGCTTTATTTAGCTGGGTTTGGAGAGGGAGATTTGCTTCACTCCTTGTTCACAATGGACAGTAAAGGAAGACCGTATCACTTGGCATCGTGAGCATAAGTTGTGGGATCAGTTATGGGATTTGAATCCTGACCCATCACTTAGTCTGAATGAGTAATTTGCCTTATCTCTCTAAACTATAAATGGAGATAATGGCCACTTCTCAGCCATTTTCTGTTACTATAAATGAAAGCCACAGAGTTCTAATTTCTTAAATGAATAAATAAATAGAACTAAGGACCTCTTGCCAGTGAGTGCTCCTCCAAAGAGTTCCAAAGTCATAAGGAGGTGAATCTAAGTGGGGGGGGGGGGGGCGTCATACAGAACTGGTTTATATAAACTGATATACTTTCGAACCATTAGCCCATCAATCTGCTAGTCCATGAGTGGATTCATTTGAGAGGGCTACCCTCATGACCAGTCTTCTCACAGAGATCCCACATCTTTAATACCTCACCATGGAAGCCTGTGACTTGCAACCTCACATGGGTACCATGAGTGCATACATGCACACATGCATGAAATATATCTGCAAAGCCATGTCCTTAGCACCTAGCCCTTAGCAAGTATTCCATAGACATTAGCCATTATGACAGTTGGAATGTAAGACGGAAAACCAAAACAACAGCAAATTGAAGACTGTTCATCACACTCACTTGGGGATTCTGCTAAGAACAAGTCCTATCTCAGATGCTTCCCGGTCAGGGCATCTGAGGGATGAGAAGACCCTGATGGGTCTCATGGACAAATAAATGGTCTAGAATACAAATGTCACCTGTCAGTTTTGTTCAAGTCAGAATGTCCCATCCTCCGTGTGAATGGAAGGAGACAAGAACTAAATGGGAAGATGGGTCCCAGTTCTCCCCACAGCACCATGTGGCCGTAGGTCCTAGGGCACATTGTTAACATCTCTTGGCCTCTGTTTCTCAGTAGCAAAGTTGGGATAGTGGTGAGTAATACTTACCTGCAAAGACCTCAGCTCCACGGGGCACAGGATATTACATGACAGCCCTCCTGCTCTCACACAAACATAAGTTCTTTGATGTCCAAGAGCAGAAAGGATTGGTTTGGGTTCCTGATAGCCTCTTTAAGATCCAGTGGGAGTCAAGGCACTTTGTTTCCCTTTCAGATGGATTGTCCTGACTTCCACACAGAAAGAGTCATTAATGCAGCCCCCGGAGCCCAGGGTGGCACTGAAGTCAGCGTGGAAGTCTTCTTTGAGCCCAGCCACCTTGGTGAGACCAAAGGCATCTTGAGCCTGTCGTCAATGGCAGGTGGTGAATATATCATCCCACTCTTTGGACTTGCTCTGCCCCCCAAGCCCCAAGGCCCCTTCCTAATCAGAGCCGGGTACAACATCATCATCCCCTTCAAGAATGTCTTCTTGCATGCAGCGAACTTCTCCTTCATTGTGGAGAACCCAGCCTTCACCATCCGAGCCGCAGAGGCCGTGAGACCCAAGAAGATCAATAACATCACCGTCTTCTTTGAGGGGAACCCGTCAGGCAGTAAAACCCCTATCACCACCAAGCTGATCGTCACCTGCCCTCACTGTGAAGGCTCTGAATCCGGGATCAAATGGGTTTATTACCTGAAGGGCATCACCCCTTGAGTCACAGCTGCACCACGTATGTGAGCCGTGAGCTGTGGCATCTTAGCAAAGAACAGAGAAGAGAAGGGGACCTTTCCTAGGACTTTCTTCCCTGTGTTTATTAATAGGGGGAATTATTTCTATATTATGTTTTACACATACAGATGTGAAATTTACGTTCCACATTAAAATTTATAGTGACACACAATCGATCTGCATTCAGGCTGAATGAATCAATGACAGTCTCAATAGTTGTGTTTCCCACAGATAAGCACTCTTGAAATGATCCCAGTCTGTAAGGAGACACTGGTATCTCACTCAGGACCTTCACACAGCACTTACAAGTGTCCAGTACAAGGAACTGCTGGCTCTCCTTAAAACGTCATCAGCCCCCAGATATGATTCCATGTTGATGTGATGTCATTTCTGCTCTTTCATAAAAGGCAAAAAAAATAAAAGCATCTTTAGAGTGATGAACGGGTCACCCTAGGGCAACTCACGATTACATCTTGTGTTTTATGCCATCAGTCCCCCAGTCCCACATCCATTGCCTTCAGGAGGTGACACCTTGTTGGAGTTTGGCTCCTAGAAAATGCTAATGGAGACCCCCACACACTCCCCTCCCCAGCCCTGAGCACACAGTCAGCTGGAGGACACTCATTCTGTGCTCATCTGTACGCATCTAGCCATCTACCTCTCACCCAAATCCTACCCTCCCCAAACACTGAGAGAATTGAGCTGGGGAGGAACAAAGTTATAACATATTCCAATATCATATGTGCATGCATATGTGCACATATAATGGAGGGTGAGAACCAGGGCTACACAGTAAACACAGCCATTCATCCATATTCCTTCGTCTCGGTCAGGAATCCTATCCATGATAAAGCCTCCTTCCAATTTCATATTGTGTAACTGCCGCTGTGCCACATGCTCTTAAAGGGTGGCCATCTAGATGTCTTTCCTATATTCCCTTAGGAAACTCCACCCACACAGGGACGTGGAGCACCTCCATCAGCCCAGAAGCTGGACCCCACACTCACCTCTTTGTCCCAGGGCCTCATAGGACCACTGACCTATGGGCGCCATTTTCAGATCAATATAATTAAACATTGGCTCGGAGGAGATTGGCTTCCACAGACACTTACCTCTAACTGAGTGTCCCCACCTCCTCCACCTTTTCTCATTCCAGAGAGCCTCCTGCAAGAGAGAGCGGTGCTATGAAACCAGATGATCACTTGGGAATGAAGTCTCCAAAGAAGTGAATGTCCAAATGGTCCCTAAACCACACCGCCAGAGGCAGCGTCTAGGAAGTTACTAAAGACCGACCCAGTTCTCACTCTCTGGCATAGACTTGTTGAATTAGAAACTGTGGGCACAACCCAGAAATACTCTTTTTAATAAGCCCACTACCTGTTGTAGTCTTGGAGGGAATAGTTTAAGGGTTCTCTTTGGTTGCTTGGGGTTTGTTTGTTTGTTTGTTTGTTTGTTTGGGCTCTTCTGACGCAGGATCTCAACATGGTTGGTTTTGAACTTCATTGCTCTCGCCTCAGCCTTGGGAGTGCTAGGATTAAGGTGTGTACCACCACACTGACTTCAGTGGTGGTGGTGGTGTGTGAGGGCGCACACATTTGCATATACATTTTTTTTCATAATTTGTTTAATTTTATTTTATGTGCGTTAGTGTGAAGGTGTCAGATCCCTTGGAATTGGCATTACAGACAGTTGTGAGCTGCCATGTGGGTGCTGGGAATGGAACCCCAGTCCTTTGGAAGAGCAGACAGTGCTCTAACCACTGACCCATCTTCCCAGCCCTGTGCATGGACATTTACATGCGTGTGTGAGAGTGTGGGTATTGCATGCGCATATGTATGAGGGCACATGCATGGGGTCAGGGGAGAGCCTCGGATGTCAATCCTTGCCTTCTATCTAGAGAGAGCCTCTCTTGTTCGGTTCCACTTATGCCAGGCTAGCTGGCCCATGAACTCCGAGAGATTCTCCTGTATCTGTCTCCCATCTCCCACAGGGGCACGCTGGGATTACAGACTGATGCGCTGCTGTCTCCAGTCTTTAGTTAGGTTTTTGTATGTGAACTTAGATTATCAGGCTTGTGCAGCAGGCAGTTTGCCCACTGAGGCATCTCCCAAGCCCTTTAACGTGTTTTGGCAATGGAAAAAAAAACTTCTACTTTTTGTCATCCCCCCCGCCCGCCACAAAACCCTCAGCCGACACATGCCACACACGACTAATGCCAAGTTAAGCTTTCCCTATAATGCTTTTCAAAACTGTAGTTCATAACCAATTCGTTTTACAGCCAGTAAAGATAATAGGGACCAGCAGGATGGCTCAGCAGGTGAAGGCACTTGGTCCCTGACAAGCTGAATTCAATGCCAAGGAGCCACTTGGGAGGAGAGAACTGACTGTTCTCTGAAAGTTGTCATTTGACTTCCACACATGTACCATGACATGCACACACACACACACACACACACACACACACACAATTATGCTGTAAAATATTTTTAAATAAAATAATAAGTATAAAGACAAAGAATTAGAAGACGGATTTTTTTTTCCAGCGATTGGTTGAACAAAAACCATACTAGCCAGCAATCTGACAGGATGTTTAAAACAAAAAAAATCAGTGGGCAGCTGCTATGACTGGCAGATACAGAGTCTGTATGACGTCAGCAGCTTCCCGATTTTTGTTTATATCAAAATCTCTGGGGAGGACTTGCAAAACCAGATTGCTGGGCTGTTCCTCCTGAAATGCCATCTAGAAATTGCATTGTCTTTGAGGAAACAACCTGATTAGGGTGCGACATTGCCTGTAGCTTCTCAAGTCATGATGACACGACTTTCACGGTGTAACCGTTAGAACAGTTACTAGAGAACCATTCCAGAGTCTATAATGACAGCAGACGAAGTGGGGCTGCAAGATGGATCATTGTTATGAAAGAGGGGTGAGATTGCAGACAAGCATAGGAATCACCCAGAAGTCGAGAGGAGTCAGAGTAGAGACTTCTGGCCAGCAGAGCCAGAGAAGAAGAAGTCAGGCAAGAATGCCCCCACCCACCCCCAGTCTTCATTCACAGAACCACTGTTAGCCCAGAGATGAACATGTGACCTTAATTAATCTACATCTCTAATGTACCAGGGAAGTTTCTTTCTAGAAACTTCCAACCTAAAGGTAGGACAAAGCATTAGTTTAGGCTTTAGGGAGAAGAAACTGGTTTCTTAGCAACCTGATTCAGAATGCAATTTTGGAAGAAAAGCATTCTTGCTGGTTGGGATAGAAAAAATGTGCAGCTTCAAATATTAAAGGCCTTATTAGAGTGTGAATAGTGTGACCCTTGGGAAATTCAGTTCACCTCCACCAAGGAGCCAACCCCAAAAAGCAAATAAATGGGTGAAATATTCTACCAGACATGGATTCGCTGGAAATGAATGTGAATTGGAGAAAGCAGACCCAAACCACCCCATTATTTTGGTTTAAATCTTTTTTTTTTTTCGTTGTATCAACCATCATCGAATCCTGAATATATAAACTTGCACACACTTTGGAATGCCCTTGACAAGCACTTGACTCAAGGTAAAAGGAGGACTAGAGAACACATTGTCTCAGAGTGTGACTGTCTGCATTTATGTAGTTTTCACACTGGAAGGAGTGCTAGAGGGGCTCCATCCTCTGCTCACTGGATTGTGTCGGAAAAGCTTTTGCCACTTTTGCCACTTGTAAAACCCTACTGGCAAGAAAACACACTGTCTTGGAATTGTGTTGCTTAATTTCTCCATGGTGTACTGAATTTTGGATCAGGCTCAGCATCTGTTTACTGTGGACACATAGTGTGGTTGCCAGCCTAGAAGCTTAAAACAACCCAAGTTTATTCTCTCTCAGTTTCAGTGGTCAAGAGTCCACATGGACTGAGCTGGGTTCTCTCAGTCCAAAGATCCCACAGGCCAACTCAAGGATCAGCCTCATCTTCACGTGAAGGCTCAAGTAGGAAAAGATATGTCTCTAAGTTTCCTTTGTGAATTGTCAAAATTCACTTTCTTGGGTCTTATGGCTAGAATCATGCTTTCTTGGCAGTTGACAACAGGAGACTGCTCTCAGCAACTAGAGACCACTGTCCTTCCCATCATCAGCTGTTCACAACATGACTCCTGGGGCCATCAGGAGAATCTTCCCACGCCAGATATCCAGGCACTTTGAGGTCTCGATGACTATATCAGGCCCACCCACAATAATCTCCTCCTCCCCCTTAATTCGTCTGTTATGGATCTTTGTTACATTTGCAAAATCTCTTCTGCTCTCAAACACAATAATTCTGTAGTAGATCATATTTACAAGACCTTTTCACACCGGAGGGCTCTGCCTATCACAGCCCCTCACTCGCTGCGTCCAGCTTTATGTTAGTGTTTTGTGCTCATTAACAGCATCTAAAAATAATGCAGTATTCCTCGGACTCAACCATAGGCTAGCCCTCCTTGTTCTAAGTTCCTGACCCTGGAAGCTCTGTTGAATTTGGATATGGCTCCCTTTTGACTGCAACATTCATTACTCTATGGCCAAAATTTCCTCTCCCCCAATTTTATCACACAGATTCAATTTCTGTCCCACCATTTAACGTGACAACCCAAACATCATCTGCTTCCCAATGATTCCATCTAGATACCTGCCCGCCCTCAGCACGTTTAGGGTTGCTGTATGTAACCCAGGGCTCTCGGTTGTCAGGACATGGTCACACACTCTGACTTCCAAATGGTGGGCTGGGCACCACTCTCAGTGTTGTGGCGTATCCACCAGAGAGACTACTTGGTTTAAGCCGATAGAAAGTCTTCCTCAGCTGGCCAGTGACTACACTGGTGTTCAGGATCCCAGTGTAGCCCCTAGCCTTTCGCAGGCTGAGCTTTTAAGAAAAAAAAAAAAAAAAAACAAAAAACACACACATCCTAGGTTGACACACCTCACTTAGCAAGAATAGTTACTACCAGAAGCAGGACTACAGAAGCCAAAAAGCAAGGCTAGGACATTTAGAGACTTTCCCAGAACTATGGACTTTGATGGATTAGGTCTTGGTTTTTGTTTTGGCAGGTGGTGCTGTCTACATGTTGAGTTTTATGACCTGAGTAGTCCTTCCATCATGGAGTCAATTGTGCTAAGGTCTGGGAGCCCGTTACAGTTAGTACCTGCAATTTTAGGAGATATACCTTTTTTAAATGGCCAATATTTTAATACGTCTTAGGAAACAAGACTGTTTGAATCTATTATTTTGGGGCACAAGCAAGGCTGAGGTGAGAACTTAAGATTCGTTTTATTGAAAGTATATAGATTTGAGGGGCTGGAGAGTTGGCATATTCTGGAGGGTACTAGCCACAGACGGCTGAAGACCTTACTTCACATCCCATGTACTCACTCAAAAGCCTGGTAAGGGACCTCTGCTCTCTAACTCCAGCACTGGGAGATGGGGAAGGCAGAGGCAGGCCAGTCCTTGGAGCTCACTGGCCGGCTACCCTAGCCAAACCCAGAGTTTCAGGTTCAGTGAAAGACCTTATTACAAAAGAAAGGCAGGGCTGCTGCCCTGCAGACTATCAAAGCAGATGCTGAGACTTATGGCCAACCTTTGGGCAGAGTGCAGGGAATCTTATGGAAGAAGTGGGAAATAGTAAGATCTGGAGAGGACAGGAGGTCCACAAGGAGAGCAACAGAACCAAAAAATTTGAGCACAGGGGTCTTTCCTGAGACTCATACTCCAACCAAGTACCAGGCATGGAGATAACCTAGAACCCCTGCACAGATGTAGCCCATGGCAGTTCTGTGTCCAAGTGGGTTCCATAGTAATAGAAACAGGGACTGTCTCTGACATAATCTGATTGGCCTGCTCTTTGGTCACCTCCCCCTGAGGGGGGAGCAGCCTTACCAGGCCACAGAGGAAGACAATGCAGCCACTCCTGATGAGACCTAACAGACTAGGACAGAAGGAAGAAAAAGAAACCCTCCCCTACCAGTGGACTTGGGGAGGGGCATGCATTGGAAGGGGGAGGAAGGAAGGGATTGGGAGGGGAGGAGGAAGGGAACTAGAGGGGGGATACAAAGTAAATAAAGTGTAATTAAAAAAATTAAAATTAAAAAAATAATAATAAAAAGAAAGGCAGAGCTGGGCAGAGTAGTTAGCTCACGAGCTTGCACACGGCCTTTCCTTCTATCCTCGGCACCAAGTAAACCCAGGGTAGTGGTACACGCCTGTAGTCCCAGCACTAAGGAGGTGGAGGCCAGAGGATCATAATTTTTTTTTTTTAGTTATTGTTAAGGTGTCTATTGATGTGAGAAAACACCATAATCAAAAGTAACGTGGGGAGGAAACGGCTTGTTTCACCTTATAGCTTATGTCGCTGAGGGAACTCACGGTAGAAACCTGGAAGCACTTATACTGTGTCGCTCCTCAAAGCTTGCTCCGCCTACTTTCTGACATTCTCCAGGACCACCTACCAAGAGTGGCCCCACCCACAGCGGGCTGGGCCCTCCACGTCAACCACTAATTAAGAAAACGCCTTACCGGCTTGCCTACATCCCCATCTTAGGGAGGCATCTCTCTCGATTGAGGGTCCCTAGTCGAAGAAGATTCTAGCTTGTGTAGAGTTGACGTAAAATTAGCCAGGACTATTATCCTCAGCGGCACAGAGTGTGAGTCCAGCCTAGGACACGAGACCTTGTCTCAACAAAGAGTGAAAAGAGCTACAGAGGACACACGACCTCGGGTCTCCACACACATGTGCTCACACATGTGAGCAGGTTTGAGCAAGTGTATTAATACAATTCTGGGCTGTAGCTCAGTTGGTAGACTTGTCTAACAAGGATGAGACCCTGGGTTCCTTGTCCGGCACCACATAAGATCAGCTGTGGTGAGGCAAGCCTGTTATCCCTGCACTCAGCAGATGAAGGCAGGAGAATCGGGAGTTCAAGGCTATCCTCAGCTATCTATAGTTTGAGGCCCCTGTCTCTAAAATAGTAATTGGGCTGGAGAGATGGTCCAACGGACAAAGGGGTCTGCCGCCAAACCTGACGACGGTGCGAATTCGATTCCGGGACGCCCAACATGGTGGAAGGGTGCCCCAAGTTATCTTCTGACCCCCAAAAGCGCACCTTGGTGAATGCACACACCCAAAAATAAAAGAGAAATGGCTAGGATACGGTGAAAATGATGGAGACCCTGGCATAAGCGACAGTGACTGATAAGTGACCAAAGAACTAATGCATAAATTAAACTGAGTCAGGCTTCGTCTCCGGCAGCGCGCCCGAACCGCCCCCCACCACCTGCTCTACCCTCTGCGAAAGCCCACTGCACCCAACCCAGGAGCGGGCGGGGAGGGGGTGGAGCCCTGGGGAGCGTGGCCAATAGACCACGGCATTCGCGCGGGGGCGTGGCCGCAGAGGGGCGGAACCTTTGGGCGGCGGAAGGCGGAAGTGCCTGTGGCGTCACGTGACCTGAGTAACATGGCCGCGGCCCAGTGAGCGTTGCCGGTTCCTGGCGGGAGCTGGTCGCGTGAGCCGTGGGGCGGTCCGGATCGCGCGTGGGAGAGCAGGGTCTGGACAGGGAACCCGAGGGGCGCGCGGCTGCAGGACCTGGCGAACCCGGGGCGGTGTAGCCCATGAGCAGGCGCCGGGGTCCGCGCGGAGCTGCTCACCCCCCTGGCACTGGCGCGGCCCCGGCAGCCTCGGGCTAAGGTGTCTCGAGGCTCCCGGGCACAGCACGAGCTGCCACCATGAACCCCGAGAAGGACTTTGCGCCGCTCACGCCCAACATCGTGAGAGCCCTGAATGATAAACTCTACGAAAAGCGGAAGGTAGCGGCGCTGGAGATCGAGAAGTAAGAGCTACTGGGACCCCGCCCTGGCTATGCAGCTCCTGGCAGCTCTGCTTGCCCCTGGCGAAGGTTCGGTATTGACCTCTCAGGTTTCAGCTCTTAGCACATGGCTTTAGAGCGGGAAATCCAGGAGCTCCGTCTTTGCCAAGTTCTTTAACATCCTGGCGCCCCTAAATAGCAGCAGTGAAAATGAACTTACTTATCGTATGGGCAGTACCTAGCACAGTACCTAGCACAGTGCCTGGCACCCGGGGAATCTTTTGTGTGGCCTCAGTCAAAACACCAAGATCAGAGACTGGCCTCTCTGGGGTGGAGAATTTGCTTGTGATGTCCCGCCTGGTCTTTTCAGCTTCTGAAGAGACCGTTAAGTAGTCAAGTGTAGAAATCAGATCAGAGCATGATCCGACGATGCTCAGAAGATTGTCATATTTAATCTTTAGTCATGTCACCCTTCTCCGCAAGTGAAATTGGGGAAATCTGACCTTCTTCTCTTCTACAATATCGTGTGTGTGTGTAATGGTACACTGGTGTTTGCTTTGTTTCCAGGTGTTCAAAATAGGGAATGTTTAATTGGTAATGTTTTGCTGAGTGTGTGTGTGAGCATGTCAAGTTTTTTCCCCAGCCAAATCCTAGTGACAGTCAAGTGAGTAGGTGGTTTCAGAAGAGTAGAAAGAAGCAGCCTGTGAAACTAGAAAAGCATTAAAGTCTAGGAGTTGAGATGTCCAACGTAGTAACAACTCAGCATATGTATCTATTTAAATTTAAGTTAGCCAGAGTGGTGACACGGGCCTGTAATTCTGGCACTTGGAAGGCTGAGGCAGAAATATTGGACTAATTTGAGATTAGCCTGGGTCACATAGCTAGACCCAGTCTCAAGAAAAAGGTAATAAACTAGTAAAAAAAAATTTTTTTTAATTAAATTCAGCTCATCAGTTTCACTACCCATACTCCAGGCATTTAGTGGCCAACCACCACAGCTGCACAGTACAGAACAGAAGACAATTCTGTTGTTGCACAGTGCTCACTTGGACAGCCCTAAGCTACGGAATGGTGCTCATTCATTAGCCTAGGATGGATTCTTCACTTACAATTTCTTAACCTCAATGCTGTTGATATTTGGAGCTGGGTAATTCTTGGTTGTAGTGGGAAGTTATATGCCTTGTAGGATTTTCAGCAGTACCTCTGCCCTTTACCCACTAGATGCCAGTAGTACTCCATCAGTTGTGACAACCCAAATTGTCTTCAGACATTACCCAATGTCCCTTAAAGATACAAAATCAAACCAGTTAAGAACAACTGCTTTGTCCTAGGCCAGTGGCTTTGGACTTAGGTAAGAAGACCCTCCCATTCGTCTGCAGTACTCAGCATGTCCACTCTAGCTGTTTCTTTCCTCAGCCACCACTTTTTTGAGCAACCTCTTTTTATACACCTTTCTGTTTATACCCTTGCTTTCCAGTGCTTAGCAAGTCTTAACAAAATTGCCATTCTGGATAGGGGAACCCAAAGATGGTATAGAGGCACAGCTGTGCGTCCATGAGTTCTGTCGGCTTTGTAAACTTGAACTGTATATTAGCTTTCCATTACTGTATCAAACACTCAAGATTTAAGTGAACAGGCTAGGCTATTGTCAGTTGGTCCTGTTGTTTTGGGGCCTGTGATGAAGCCCTTCAAGGGCACACCCAAAAAGAGCTCTCAATAAGCCCAACTCTAAAACTCTGCCGTCTCCAAATAGTACCAGCAACCTTTGAAGTTAGCACATGGACTCTGAGAAACAATAATAAGAGTTAGAGTACATGGCCTTTGAGAGACAATAATAAGTTTCGGACAGTTGCACACTGACACCAGTTTTATCCACCCACTCAGCTTCACAGAAGTATCTACTTTTATCCTGGCTTGAGTCATCTGTTAGGTCCTTGAACAGAGGTGTTCACAATATCACTGCCTCTAGCACAGTCTGTGTAAGTCTTCCCTGCAGGTGGTTCTTTGAGGGCTTTGCTCTTAACGCAGATCATTTTGTATTAGACATTGCCCTTGATTTGTAAAATTCAGAGAAAATTCGTAGGGCGGTCAAGGACTATGACCTCCTTAAGAGCAAAAACGTTTCATTTATCCTCTTCACTTAGCACAGTGAATGCCTAGAGGCATTCTGCACATGTCCACAGGAAGGAATAGCTTTACAGTATTGATAGGAAAGTAACATTGTAGCCTAAGGAACTTGCTACTCAAAAGTGACCTGCAGATGGTCACTAAAAAGAAACTCTAGCTTCATCCTTGAGTGAATTAGAACTCGCAGGTGAACAAGATGGCTGCATGAACTGCCGGACAGTTTAAAGTTTAACAAGTGCTAACTTCAGAGACCTTCTGTTCTGTACATAGACTATTCCATGATTGCATATATTCTTCCTCAAAGTAATCCTAAGCCAAATAGCCCATTAATCAATCCCCATAGACACACCCATCAAGGAAAAGTCAAAACATTGGCTGTTTCTTGTGTAGACTGGAGAAATTAATGTGCTTGCCCTGTTCTTGAGTGATCCCTCCAAGGTTCCCTGTTTCTTCAGAGACCACATGGAATATTGGCTAAGAGCACTAAAGCCTGGTAGCTGGTATTCAGGCTTCTCTTCACTAGTTAGGTGAACCTGAGCAAGCTAATTAACCTCAATTCCTCATCTGCAAACTAGTAATAGTATTCATTGGGGCATTTGATTACTGGCACTAATTTTGTAAAAGTGGTTAATGCAGTTGTTAGACGTGTTGCAACTGTTACATAATGTACAAATAGCTGTTACATAATTACTTTTAAATGTTTATAATTGTTTTATATCAGTACTGCTCTTGCTGCGTTTCCTTGTCAGACTAATGGCCTCCTAAAGATATCTTAATCCCTTGAACTTATGACTGGGTGATTTAAGATAGCAGGTATGAGCCTGAGGAGATGGCTCAGTAGGAATATTAGTTATTTTTCTGTTGCTGCAGTAAAACACCATGAGCTAAAATCAACTGATGAAAGAACGGGTTTGTTTTAGTTTTTCAGAGGGCAAACCCATAATGTCAGGGGACACATAGCAGCCCACAGCTGGAGCAGGAAGCTGAGAGATCTCATCTCCATCCACTCACATACAGTAAAAAGAACAAACTGCAAGTGCAGTGAGGCATAAACTCTCAAAGCCTTCCTCCAGTGACATGCTTCCTCTAGCAAGGCTCCACCTCCTGTAGGTTCCATAACTTCCCCCTACTGGCAACCAAATGTTTACATATGCAAGCCTAAGAGGGATGTTTCTCGTTCAAATGCCACAGTGGGAATAGTTCTTGCTATGCCAGCATGAGAACCTGAATTTGGATCCTAGCAGTTGCGTAAAGCCTGGGCTTGGCACCTGCACTCCCCGTGCGCTGGCTTGTTGGTCAGTCACTCTGGCTAAAACAGTGAACTTCAGGTTCAGTGAGAGATCTGTCTCAAGTGTTCTGCTTCCTTTCCTTGATGGAGACAGATAGCCAGTGTTGGCTTCTGGCCTCCACATGCAGTCACAGATGAAAGTGTATCTGTGCATACCCATATTATATATCATAGAGCCAAAGGAGGGGAGAAAAGAAAGCAGAAACAAGGCCGCTAACTCTAGAATGAGGAGATCAGCCTAGATTACCCAGGTGGATCCACTGTAACCCCAAGCATCCTTTAGTGTGAAAGAAGCAAGAAGAGTATCAGACTCCAGCAGCCATTGCTGGCTTTGAAGTTCTAAGGAGCAGCTAGCCAGAGATTGTGGGCATCATCCAGAAGGTGGCAAGAAGCTGGATCTTCCTTTACAGCAGTGGTGCTCAACCTTCCTAATGCTGCAACCTTTAATACAGTTCCTCGTGTTGTGGTGACTCCCAACCATAAATGTATTTCTATTGCTACTTCCTAACTGTAATTTTGCTACTGAGATGAATCATAATGTAAATATCTGACATGCGACCCCCAAAGGGCTCTTGACTCATGGGTTGAGAACTGCTACTGTAGAGCCTCCAAATTATAAAGCAGCTTGCCCACACCTTGATCAGCTCTAAGCCGGGCAAGTTGCTTCCTTAGCCTCTAAGTGTGTGGTAATTTGTAACAGGAGCTAGTAGAAAACTGCTACAACTCTGGGAGCTATTGTGATAAAGCTCAACAAATGATACAGTGTTTGTCTAGACACGCTAGCCCAGTCTCTTTTTCTACATCTGCCGTCCCTCCAAGGCCTTGAGCTCCTGAGGCAGACACAGCCTTTACATCACCCATCTCTCAGTAAGACTAAAGGCCTGGCTACCCATTAGTTTGCCCGTGGCTTTCCCAGACCAAGCAGGAAGCCCTTAGCCTAGTGGACAGCTGAGGTCAGTGAGCTATGATTAGGGACCCCTTTAAAGTGAATAGGATTCAAACCTCAAAGGCAAATCAGGAGACTGCGTTGTGGTTTTCAAGGAGGCAGGAGTCTCAGGCCTCCCTACTTGCTTAGCTGGAACTGCCCATTGGGTGGAATGGAAGGTGGGAGAAAGGCTGTGAGATAAGGGTTGTTGAGTGTGTTTATAGCTTTTCTCAAAAATCTCTAAGTGCACAGGTGGGGTTAGAACCGTCCGCCCCGACTGCTAGAACAATACCACAGGCTGGTGGCTTCAGTGAGAGCCATTCCTTTCTTGCAGTTCTAGGGGCGGGGCCTTTTCTCTACATACAGGCACTTTGGGGGTTAGTACCTCAGCATGTGAAGCTGGAGTACAAAGGGCACTCATCAGTGATCACCGTGACACCTGAGGCGGCACGTGTGTAAAGTTCCATCCTCGGGGAGAAGTGGGATACAGAGGGATATGGAGAAGCATCCCCGTGTTTAGCCATTGTACGCCCACCCCTCCTAGCTTCCCTATGAACCAGGTGATGGTAACTCATTTCACAAATGAGGAAGTGGAGATTTCTTACTAAGTCACTTTTCCAAGGTTTACAGCTAGAACCTCGGTGTACAACCAGGTTTATTTTTCCAAAGGGCATCCCCATTAGG